GTTTAGGGCTTTGGGTTTAAGGTTTGGGGTTAGTAGGGCCTGTAAGGTTTGGGGTGGCTTCATGGAGGCCCCCGAAAGCCGGGGTTTAGGCGGGGCGGGGGGGTTTAAAGGGCTTCGGGTTTAGGGTTTAGGGTTTAGGGTTTAGGGTTTTTGGTTTAGGGTTTAGGGTGGTGTAGGGTTTAGGGGGTTTAGGGGGTTTGGGGTTTAGGATTTGACTTCATCGAGGCCCTCCGGGTTAAGGGGTTAGGGGTTTGTGGGTTAGGGTTTAGGGTTTAGGGTTTAGGGTTTAGGGTTTAGGGTGTAGGGACGGGGGCCCTCCGGGGTTGAAAGGGAGTTGAGGAGGGGTTTAGGGCCTTGGGGGTTTAGGTAGGGTTCAGGATTCAGGTTTAGGGTTTAGGGCTTAGGTGTTTAGGGTTTAGGATGTAGGTTTAGGGTTTAGGGCTTAGGGCTTTAGGGGTTCAGGATTAGGGTTTGGGGTTAAGGGTCTGGAAGGTTTCATAATTCATGAGAGTTTGACAAGGGTTAGTGGAAAGGGCAAGGGTTTTCATGAGTTTGGCCTTTGTTTTGATGAAGGTGTTCATCAGGTTTCATATTTCCCGGTGTGTTCTCTTCCTGAGACGGGTTCACATCCAGGCTGTGGCTTTGACTGGGGGGTCGGCCCGTACTGTACGTCGTTCAAAGGGCCAGCTAGGACAGGGGTGGGATGAGGGAAAGACAAGTTGCTGGGATCTCGAAAGGGGCTTGTATTGTTCGCGTCTCCTTGTCTTGGTGCATGTAGTCCTGTCGTCGTCGTCCTCCTCCTCGTCATCCCTAGCAGTATCCTTTTACAGGTGCATTTTAAGGTCTCCACCAAAACATAGAGCACACTAGTAGGAGAACCAATCCAAGCCAACAGCTGCACATCGCCAAGGGAGAAGCAGGCTCTGTGAAATATAGGCGACTGAATAGTTACCACTACTATTCCTTCGGGTTCCCTGCCATAATTCTAGTGTCATATACACCAAAAGCGCTATTCTATTTGTTAAGGACCCTAGAAAAATTGGTCGGGTTTGTTGCAGGCTTGGTTGGGGAGCTGGAAGCCCTAAGCCCTAGCCCAAAGCCCCATACCCTAAATCCTACACTCTAAACCAACTCTACACCCAACCTTTTAATAATAGAACAAAGCCATACCGAAACCATCAAGTCCCGATAAAGAACCCTGACCCCAAACTCCCTACTTACCGAAATCAAGAGATCCCGCTGAAACACTCAACCCTGAAATAAACACCTCAAACCCTAAGCCCTCAACCCCTCAACCCTAGACCCTAAACCCTAAACCCTTACCCTGTAGAGTTTAGGGTTTACCTATAGTCTCCATTGTAGTTCCTTTTTGGGGATACCTTATAAATTCCTATATATAGAAGTGGTTAAACCAAAAGAAAGAACTGCAGCGGAGACTATAGGTAGGTCTTAAGCCCT